CTGAAAACTGGATAGAAAGTAACCAACTGGTCCAGAAGTTATCATGAAGAAAGACAAGCTACTCCTTTGCCTGATCACGTATGCCTCCTGTCTGTATGAAAAATGGAGAAAATCCTTTTACCCAGTGCGCAGTCCCTACTTTTCTTTAAAGACAATCCGAGCGATGGTATTTGGAGCTGTGCCCGCTCAAGCAATCCATGGGCTGGGGAAATAATTTCAGAGCCGTGCATCCCTCGATCACCGTGTGAGGGAGGTAATGACGGCACGGAGTGAGCACAGCAGATGAGAAGCGATTGCTCTCGTGCGCTTGGTCTGCTGCCTGGCAGATCTCACGTGCTGCCGGGGAGGAAAGCGGGTTTGGAGGCTATTTGAGCACCTAAGCATGCCGAGAAGTGTCCAGTGGGATTTTTCAGCTGCATGTCTATGCCAGCCTGACACAGCTCCATGGAGGTTGCACGGAAGCTGGATAGAGGTGTTGTACATACTCTTGTTTCTGTCTGGCCCAGCTGGCATGTCTCGGACGCTTTGATGGGGACTTACTGGGGGTGAAGGGCTCCACATGACCACCCACATTCCACAAGAGAACAGGTACAGAGTGAAGCTCATTCACACCAGCACAGACTTAGGTCTCTGATAATGAATTTCTTTTTACAAGAGGGAAAGAAATGTGTGCCACGGTATTGCTCTCTTTCCTAAAAATAAACGCAGGGATAAAAAGAGGATTCAGACAAAAAGACCTTGCAGGATTATCAGCCCCCACCAGGCAGAAATCCTGACAGGCCCCAATAAATCGTCTGATAGGTTTAATGGTAAACTTGACAAGACAAAAAGATTTTTTTTTAACTTCTTTCTCTGATTTAAGAAGCTTCAGATTTTCCTACAATCTACAAAGCTCAAGTCTTCTGTAAAAATGAAAACTGAGGTACCTGCATGACTCCAGAGGGTGGAGATTTACAAAAAAATAAACATAATGAGGTTTTTTTGATCAGACACTGTTTGTGGTGGAGAGTTTTATGGTGAAAGGCATACAACATTTACATTTTCCTCTGCAGAGGCTTCCCTGCAAACTGCACAAAAACCCCTCTGACTGAGCCCTTCAGACTCAGCTATAAGCTGTTAGGAAAGCAGCTAATGCAAAAAATTGCAAGCATAAAAACTCATATGCCCCGTTTGTAGAAAAGTGGAAAATTAGCCAATAAACAGTCTACTGTTAAAAATCAGAGTACTCAGAGACGTTATCCCTCCTGAGAGGTTATCCTAAAGCAGTGGCTTCTGGACAGGTCACCTGAATGTCTCATGTGTGCAAAGCCCCTGTAGCTTACCTGTGCAGCTCAGGTGAGAGGGGGACCTGGACACCACTTAGCATGATGCCAGTGTGACCAGGAGGACACCGTGTGCCTGTGAGGCAATGGGAGTCACATCCCGATCTCACGGTCCGAAGAAGCAAGCATGATGGAAGATGGGATACATGGGAAGAAAATGGCCCGGTCCTGACAGTGATTTACTGGTAGCTGAGAGAGCGAGCAGGACTGGGCAGCCACAAGCAGTAGGTGTAAGTCTCTTGTGGGAAGGAAAACACAAATGAAAACAGAAGCAACTAAATGAGGAAGTATACAACACAGTGATGGCTTCAGGCTCTCTGTTTTACTGAGGGAAGATGAAAAGCAGCGACTCTCAGCATTGCTTGGGATAGGAAGATCACCAGGCGATGCCCTACTCATGAAAATCAGATATCCGAATGGAAAGGAACTGCTTTTGCTTTCAGAGTGCATTTCTGAATCCACTGCTCCTCCCTGCTGGCTCAGCTAAACCTGATGCACATCTTTGTTTCCACCATGCAGGCAGACCCTGCACAGCTGCATTGCTTCAATACAGATGGCCTCCAAGAAGCCCTAAGTTAGCAGCACATTGGCAAAGAGCCCTGGTGGAAAAACTAAAAGTCCCACACAGAGCAGAAATACTCCCTGCAAGGAAGCACATTGCTTTTATGGAGCACAGGGAAAAATAATCTTTCTATTTGTGAAGAGCATCTCTCAAACCTTACAGCATTGATCCTTGTATAATTCTTTTGCACCATGACATAGACATATGCAGCATTAAATGTACTGCCAGGTGCTGCAGGAATAAACTGAGAGCACCTGTCCCTTTGGACTGAGCTGCACTGCAAATATATCTTCTGCAAATCAGGACGTCACCTGTAAATGCATTGCACACCTAAAGGAGACCAGGTTTTTAGAAAAGTTCACCACAAGTGCTAAATTCTGGCACAAAGAATTCATCCACCACCTTTGAAGTTCCTAAGTGTTACAACTTTTTCCCAGACTGGGCCTTTTTAGTAGAACTACCCAGGAGACTTTTGAAAACATGAAATTTTCAAGAGCTCAAGCAGCTGCAAAAAAAAGGTTTGAATGCCAGGGCCAAGTTTTGATCTTTAGTTATAGTTCTGACTTTTGATAAAGGACAAGGAATGTTGGACTACCCTTTTGTATTAACAAGAGATCTCAAATGCTATTCAGGAGTTTAAGTTAAAAGACCTATATAAATAGAAAACACATGCTAATAGGATGTAATGTTTTACTACCTCACATATAAAACATCATTCTGAATGGTTTATGCTCCAAAGCATGAGTTGATACCACTGCCGGTATTCGCTTAGCTAGGTGCAGGATTTCGGTGGTTTGTACCAGCTATTTTAGCCAGTTCTCAACCACAGAAGGTTTTGGCCTTAATTTGAGCTTCATTTTTCCACTGGAAAATGCCGATTTGTTGGACATGGGGTTTTGCAGAAGTGCCGGTTTCAGTGAAGGCTGGTGGTTTCTCAGGGCCGTGATGGACCTGCTGGAGGGGAAGGCAGGCAGCGAAGGTACCTGCCTGGGAACTCGGGGAGCGGACAGACTGACGTGCCTGTGCTGGACTGGGACGAGCAGGGACTTGAACATCTTTCTGCGAGAGATTTCGCAAAGGAGTTCTCAGCTGATTCAGCTGTTGGAGAGAGCTAAGAGGAGAGATGGGAGGAAAGGAGCATGCAGGGGTGGCATTATTATTATTACCATTTTTTAGTGGGGAGAGAAGAAAAAATTTCTACTTCCAATGCAAAAACAAAAAGCAGAAGTCAAAATTCCTCAGAAACACAGTCCATCCTCCAGCTGGATTTAGCCACAGCTTGCCTTGGTGAATCCAAGGGGTCAATTAACAAAGATTAATTTACTTCCTCTCAACCTAATAAAAGCAAAGCATCTGCCTGACCTTTCTTGCTAACAGCTCCTAGTTTTAGGCAGTCACATTCAGCAGTTCCCCGTCATTATGCTAAACCAAACAAACACCCAAGTTTCCATTTTCCAGGGCCTAAATCCTTCAGCACAATATCATAATCTTCCGCTGCCTTCGTGTGAACTTTTCCACCTTCCTTATGCTCCTATTGAGGTAGTAGCATCTTACGGATTTATGCTGGCCCCTGGGATCAGTTCACAGCTATTGTGGATGCCCTGTCCTTCGTACACCGGCTCTCAGCAGTGTCTCTTTAGCTTCTCAGGCTTACTGCTTTTTAGTACTTAATTATGTTGTTTATTTTGCATTTATTGCACTGTGCTGTGCTTTCATTGCTTAGATAAAACTAGCTAGCAATCCCCAGGCCTCCTGAAGGAACGCTACCGCGGAAAATTAATGAATGCACTATTTTCCCCAGCACAGAGCGAACACACTGCTAATAGTGACAAACTCTCAACCCTTCCTCGGCTGCAGCATTGGTGAAAAATCCTGCCTAGTCCACGCATGTGAAGAGACATAGCCATTGAAACTGCTGACAAATAGCTCCGCCTGAAGGACCAAACGACAGGGTACTAAAGCACGTGCGGATCCCACCCAATGCTTTACTTTTTGCTGTCATCATCATCAGGCAAATCCGTTGACCCAAACTTGAGAAATCAATAGCACTCAAACAAGGAAACTTGTTATTTTCCACTGGACAAACTTTAATTGTCTCAGAGGCTTCCAAGTCCCATGACAGACACTTCATTTAAAGCAAAAAATAGTAGTGCTGTATCTCTTTCTTTGATATTGAAGACTAGGATTCTTCTGATGTGAAGTGCCTGCTCTGGCTTGACAAATACCCAGCACTGGTAGATGTTTAGAGCAGGCAGATTAGAAAGACAGGCGAGAGGGTGAATGATTTTGGTGCTGTGGAGTACAGACTGTAGTTTGCAACAGGCATTGCTACCACTAGCAGATAGAAATATAAGCGAACGTTTCCTTGCAGTCACTGATGAGACTTCCAGTGTGACTCCTCTTCTGTCACATTACATTACCTGCCATGCTGGGAAACTCAATAATTACTCTGCAGGCACTTATGAAGACATACTTGTTGAAACAAATGATGGGACATGAGGTGATTGTTAGGCGCAGGCTGGAAACCAACAAGCCCGTCTCATGAAGGAAATAAACCGAAACAGTGTCACTTCTCTGATAAAAAATATTTCCATATTAAAATTGGACAAGAAGAACAGACTGAGCAATTTTTCAGGGGGAAAGGAAATGGTTCCTGGAAAGCAAATTCGCTTCTGCAAAACAGAAATTATTTTTCTGCTCCTGGAAGGATATTACCTGGTTTGCTTTTCCAGATGATCAGCTTGGGAACCAATAAATCGGTTTTCCCAATGGGAAGTCCAAGTGTTTGAGATAGCAAGGGTGTTTTCCTCTCAGAAGTCATGTCCACAGAAAATCCCTAGCTGGACATTGTGTAACCTGACATGGAACCTGACCGTTGTCAACTAAAACCTAAAATATTTTGTAGACTCCCTCAATAAAATACCTCACAAGACAACCACCACTATCACAGAGATAAATCAAGGTGGGGAACACGCTACCCTGTTTAACCACCTCCCACTACCCTGGAGAATGTCTTGCCCATATTTGGGTCTTGGTGAACTTTCCTTGCTGGTGTGGGGTGATGGCTACTCTGTGGATGCAAAACTCTGAATTAGCAGGAGACATTTTAACATTACCTCATGAGACAGGTAAAAGGCAGCGATTCCCAATGGCCAGAAGCAGCAGAGCATGGAGAACACAGTGAGGCCAAGATGATCTCTTGGTGGCATCATCAGGAAATTGTCTTCGCTTTCGGTGTCACTTGAGTAATCGCTCTGGAATAGCAAGGGAGAGAGAAATGTAGAGGTGCTGGTTAATGATATAATTATATCTCCTCTATAATTATATCTCCTCTATTGTGGGCCAAGGCTGTGATCATCTGCCCATAAAACTCTCCCCAGTCACACCAGGGCAATTCCTCAACATCAAGACAGGCCTCCAGCACTCATGGTAGAAGGCTTCTGGTGACCCACCCTGGGGTCCCTACCATGCAGGGGTCTCTAGACAGGGCCAGGTCTGGGGGCACTTGTACCCTATTCATCAGGGCCCATGCACCCATTCTGCTCTGCTGTGGCTCCACAGCAACAGGACCACAGGAGTTAGCCTGCCCTCCTGCAGTGTCCACACCAGCCGGTGGCATCCTTCAGAAGGACTTCAGGATTGGGACTGTGGCCGTGGCACATCTCCCTCCCTGCCCTGCTGAAAGGCTCACCAGGGCACTAACACCCTGTTTTAGCAGCACCCCGAAGGGAGGCTGAGAGACCCGAACCCTTATGTCTGCACCAAAATCAAACAGGAGAGAAGTGGGAGCACAGCTCAGAGGCAGGGTTATCTCTGCAAGTTGCAGGTTGGGACTGCAGCTGCCCTGTCAGCACCAACGCTTGGGGAAGCCACCCCAGCCAGCGTCACAAAGTCAGCTCTCTTTTTCTCTCCTACTGCATGCACAGCACTGGCTAGCAGGTGGCTTCCTTACGAACACCAGGGGAATCTCCATTCCCTGACTATGTCACAGCCTCCATCACTATTGCACGAACTTGAAAGCAAGAAATGAGAAATTACAAGAGATTTTGGTAATCACTGCAGGGAGCTGAAAAGGGCCCATTTTACATGTTCATCTTTCATGAATGAAAGAAAGTGACTCTCTAGCCAGATGAACCAGGGTGAACCTGGGTGGGTTGGCACTTCGGAAACATGTCACATATCTAATGCAGAAGGAGCTGTAAGCATTGGGTGCTCTGCATCTCCCAACTCAAATGCCAGTCTTCTGGAAGGTCACTGCTCAGGTGGCTGTGAGAATGTCAGCCAGACACTACCCAATGGGGACAAGGTGACAAATGTGGTGCAAACCTAAGCATAAGGAACCAAGGTAGCAAAAGCTGAAAGAGAAAAAAGCATGAGTTGCTCCAGCAGCAATGGGATGCTGCCAGATTTACAGTGTGTAGGCAGAACCACCTGCCCAGGCATGTTTCTTGGATGCCCCATGGTCAAGCTGCAGCAACCCTGACCTAGCAAAAGTTTCTTTCACGGTAATTACTAGGACTGGTCCACAGGGACCTGACTGCCCCACTGCTGAGCGAGTACAATTCTCCAGCAGAGCAGGAGTGGAAGAGATCCTGCTCTCTGATGACTTCCTCCTCGCCTGCAGGGAGTCCACATGCAACAACAGGCATGGAGGCTGTGGTTATTCCAGGCTTTGGAGTTACAGCTTTTGTGCAAGAAGGGCCCTGCAAAGCTTTTTAACTCACCCTGGGAGCACATCCAGCCTGAAACAAGGTGGCCAAAAATCTTCTCAAAAAACCCTTTTGTAGTTGCATGTCCTTCACTGATTGTAGGAGAAATGCTGTGCAAAATCTCACTGAAAGGAAGACATCTGTGTCACATTTAGAAACGTACCCTTTTGGGCATGGGTTTTGTGTCCCTCTTAGAAACTTAGCAGCCTTTTCAGGAGTTTTTGGCCTTTGGGCTAAAACAACTGCTAAAGTGACATTGCTCTACCAGTCAGCTCTAAGTGAGAAACTCCTGAACAGGCTGCTAAGCGTGCAAGACAGGAAAATGAACCCATGAGCAAGAAGGTAAGTTTCTAAACATGCCACTAGTGAGCCACAAGTCAGAAGAACCTAGGAAATGCTGGCAGCCTAATGATATTTGAAAGACTTAGCACTGGGAAAAGGGATTGCCTCTCAAACCGACCCATTTGGGGAACCCACCAGGTGACATGACCCATCGCTTGCTAACATGGAGAGTCTGCTTTGACAGATATTGCTGCCAAGCACCTGCCACAGACCAGAGGGGCCTGGGAGGGAGAGGTGGGGGGACCAGACAGGTCCCATGCACTGAGATTGTGTGGTGCATGTGAACACCAGCACATAGAGCACCCCAGCCTGTGTCAGGAGTATTGGTGCCTCAGCAGAAGTGACAAAGCTCCATTTGGCAGAAACTCAATAAAATCCCACTTCTGAGGGGACACCTGCTGATGCTGGTGTACAGTGTTTGAGCTTGGTGACTTCCCTTTCTGCTTTAATTTTCAGAACAGGCCATTTAAGTAATTTTTAATACCAATAATCTTTCCTTTCAAGAGTCAGAGAAGAGAGGGGGAGGGAGGAAATCCACAACATCATTGCTGAAACAGTCTCTTGAAACAGTGCCCTTCCCTGAACTTCATGACAGGTAAGATACAAAAACAAAAATGCTTTTGATTTCCCAGTTCTTGGCTGAGTAGTGTGCTGGTATTGTATCTGTGGAGACTACCTGCTGATATTTCAAATTGCCTTTTCTTGCAGATGAAGGTGAAATGGGGCAAAGATTCTCTAGATAATTTTGATCACGTGGTGAACCAGAAAATTATCAGTTATGCTGCTTTCCAAAGGGACTAACCATTCTCAGGGTGGTGGCGTCAGGACATCTCAGAGAGCGCCCATGCTGACTGGAGAGGTGGCTGTTAGATTGCAAGAGGATAATTGCGGAAGTTTTCTTTCGTTATGCTAACATAAAAACCCTTACTGGGGAAGATTAAGTCACTATAGGCTCATACTAATTGAACAGTGGAGTTATGTTGTGAATGCCATTTTGATGGGCAAAGTCCCCATAGTACACATTGGATCAGATGACCTGTCAATCACCAAGAGTGACACAATAATTCTGATCAGAAAGCCCTGACCATGTAGTCCAGATATGAACCAGCAGGGGGGGGGGGGGGAAAAGAAAGAAATCCCAGCAAAAGGTACCTCTTACCCCTTCCAGCTAAACACTCATTTCTCCAAGCAAACCTTCCCCCCTGATGTTCTCTCTTTACAACACGATACCCAAACACTGAGTTTACCGAGAGATCCTCCCTATCCCGTCACAGAAAGAAATCCAACAGCAAAAGGTACCTCTTACCCCTTCCAGCTAAACACTCATTTCTCCAAGCAAACCTTCCTCCCTGATGTTCTCTCTCTTACAACACGATACCCAACACTGAGTTTACCGAGAGATCCTCCCTATCCAGAAACCTTTCTGACATTGGGAAGCTTTTGACAATGTGGCTACATAGCTGGCTGTCTTCACTTGTTCCTGGTTCTGCAAGAGCTGCACCCTGACATTGGAGGAGCTGGATGTTAGGGGTGCTGAGAAGTCAGAATTACTTTCACCAATTACAGTCGCTTTGGGTTAGCAGACTAATCCTGCATAATCACTGATATTCTTGTCCACAGCACTGCTCCTTTCATGTTTAAAGTCTCTTTATAAATTTACATGGAACTTTTCACAATTACATCATATTTCCACTAATCTGACTGAAAGCTTTTAATTCTTGCAGAAGTTAGGGAGTAGCATAACTAATTAATTTTCAAGGTTTGGGTGGTGAGCAAGACTGCACAGACAAACTTTTCTTTATTTAATGTTAAGCTAGATGAGTTTAAGCAATCTTAAATATCAAACTAATGTTTTTTCTTTCTACAGGTGTATCACCAGTGCATCCTCCAACCAAATAATAAGCAAGCAAAGGACAACTTGTGCAACGATTAAAAAAAAACATGTGGCAAAAAGCATCCCTTTCTTGGTTGAGATATTCTGTTCATCGGCAGAGCAAAGATCCCGAATAGTTACTCTCCTAACAACTCCCAGTTACTCCAGGCTTTTTGCTGAGGTGCTAAAGACACAATCGAGTTATCCTCTTTGAAAAGAGCTCTTCTATCCTGTCAGTCAGACGACACCACTGTCTTCATGATGCTAGAAAAATCTTAGGATGAAACAAGGTGAAATACATCCCGATGCAGCTGCAACCACCTAAGTGACAAGAGACAGGAGGATCACGGGGTGCCAAGGAACAGCAGCAGCAGCAGCTGACAGTCTCTTCAGGACGTTGAGGGATTCACTCCTTTTCAGACATGACATCTGGTTCCAGCAGTTTCCACTGCAATTGCACAACCACTTCTAACCACAACGCACAGAGAATATTTACAGAAGGCAGCGCCTTTCCACTGCAAGTCAGGCTCTGTCTTGGAGACACATCTTTGTGCTTTAACGTGAAAGATGTAATCTCACCAAGGTCCACAGACCTTCCCCTCGCCAAGTGAGCTGCACTCTCTGCAGCCCATGCAAGGTGCTGCTGTGAGAACAGATACCTGTGCAAATGGCCCTGTAGCAGAAATGACACATCTCTGAAATTACTGAGCACACAGTGGGGATTTCCTGCTTCCAATGGATCTTTTGTCTCAAAAGCAGTTATTACAATGACAGCAACCCTCCTCATCCTCGCTGATTACTGCTGCGTGTCCCTCACCAACACACTTGGAGTTCAGCTGAGAAGACAGCACAGGACAAAGCAATCTCAGCCTCAGTTTACCCACAAGCTGTTTTGTGGCTCTTATGAAGAAGAGATGACCTCAGGAGTGCAGGCAAGACTGGAGCTACCAGGAGATCAGGCCCCAGAGGACATCTTCCCTGAGCATGAATTCCTGCAGAAAGCACAGCGCCCTGCCTAGATGAATGTTGATTACAGTGAATGACAAAGAAAGCAAGCAGCTCCTCTCCTCTCCTCTCCTCTCCTCTCCTCTCCTCTCCTCTCCTCTCCTCTCCTCTCCTCTCCTCTCCTCTCCTCTCCTCTCCTCTCCTCTCCTCTCCTCTCCTCTCCTCTCCTCTCCTCTCCTCTCCTCTCCTCTCCTCTCCTCTCCTC